CCGTAACTGATCCAGTAGTAGAGTTTGAATTTTCTTACGAGTATCGTTTACCTGGATGTCTAACCTTCATCAACGCATGGGTAAGTCACTTTTAAAGCAACCACAACGTAACGCTAAAATTCAACTGGATATTCATCATTTTGGAGTCTGTGACCTGAATAGGCTTGTAAACAACTTGCCTACATATGAGACTTGCCTGGCCCGGTAGTTTGCCTGGCCCGGTAGTCTTGCCTGGCCCGGTAGTTATGGCTCCCACCGTTGAGTCCTTCCGGGCCAGGCTGGAGGCCTGCCCGCCTTAGACCAAGGCCTCCCCCCCCTAAAGTGCCCCATCAGGGGCTATATGGGGGTGTAGCCGGGGCTCACATAACATCTTTGAGCCCCGGCAAAGATGAAGATGAAGAGACCAAAACTAATAACTTTGCCAAACGAAAAAATAAGAAGTGGATATCTACTGAAATGCCATCATGTCACTTCTGTTTGGAGTCTATCCGCTTCTTACGTCATATCCGTGACCAGCACTAGGCATTATGGGAAGTGTGAAAATGATGAATGTTTACATCTATCAATGTGGTTAAAGGAAAACTTTTGGTGGAAAAAGAACTGAAAATAAGAAATGAAAGTTGGAAAAAATGAACCAATTTTACAGCACTTTTCTTCTCTATTTCAGTTTCATCAATGAGATATACGATTACCCAGGATTCCATTCGCCGACCATCGGCCTGATGACGTCATTCCTCGCCCTGTCGTTCTGTGATCACGTGTCACTCTACGGCTTCTATCCCCTAGCAACGGACGCCAACAACAGAACTGTGAAGTTCCATTACCATGACGACCCGTTGCCAGGGGAGGGCAAAATTCTCAAGCCTCACATGTTCAATGTGGAATATGACTTCATGAGGAATTTGCATAGAGTAGGTGTTTGGGACCATAGAATTACGAACTGCACTCAACAAAATTAAAGCAACGTCTATGAGCAAGAAATATTTCCATTTTTTCAGAGTATACCTCTTAACGCCCTTAAATGTACGAAACAAATTAAGTCACCGGTCTGGTAGCTATAGTTTATTATTCTTTATAAGAAACAAAAGAAAAAGTTGAGATGAAAAGTAGATGGTGTGTGTGTGTGTGTGTGTGTGTGTGTGTGTGTGTGTGTGTGTGTGTGTGCGCGCGCGCGCGCGCGTATGTGTGTATGTGTGCGTATGTACAAATGTATGTGTGTGTGTATGTGTGTGTGTGTGTGTGTGTGTGTGCGCGCGCGCGCGCGCGCGTATGTTTTTGGCGACGTCTCAGGGACGAGCCTAATGGTAACAGTATTGTGTGTAGTTCGCAAAAATTCTAGGAATTGTACAGGCATTTTGTCCACAGACATGGAATGTCCACAGGAATGTCTCCCAGCTCTGTTTGTTGACATGCCCACATTCCTGGAAACCCTTGGGAGAACCTGTCTGCGGATGCCCTACATGTACTTTCTGTGGCCCGGGGCTTGTTCACTATACACTCAGGATAGAGTAGGGTACCAAGGCTTCCTCAAAATCATGACATCATGGCAGTGCCATGCAAACAATAACCCTAACAGCAACCACCGTCGCCGTGGCAATGTATGCCAGTCTTATTGTGTGTGTGAATGCGTGGAGATGACAACAGGTGGTACACAGCGACTCCTAGTGGCGACAATAAGAATAGCAACCTGCTGGACAGGTTGTGCTCTTTTGCTCAATTACACACACAGGTAAATTCTCCATGCATGACAGGAACGACCTATGGACACTTTTTTGTTGTCGGTGAGAAGAAAAACTAGTTCTGTAGGTGCTAAACTTTAACCTTTGACATGTGATAAACAAACATGGCGGACAGGTGACGAAGACAACAACAACAACAGATCTGACTTCCCAATGAACTGCACTACAGCTTCGATTCTTGATATTCCTGCGAACAAGGTTAGCTTACACCTATCTTGACTTAAAGTTTTAATTTCATTGTCTTTGACAATCTCTGGGAAAAGACTTTGTCAGCAGAGAGTTTTAGAACTGAAGAGGCTATGAAGAAAAAGTAATTCGCGTAAAATATGCAGACTTTGAAGTTGCTAAAATACCAGTAAATCGACTAATGATGATAACATAAATGCATATGGTTAGATAAAAAGAAGATATTCTGTTTAATAGGAAAGGTCTTCATATGTAACAGTTATGCTGTTGTTTAAAAAACTCCACACAAGTAAGATACAGGGAGTAAAATGATACCAAATGGAAGTGTACGAAAAATCTCTTAAACAAAAATGGAATATACAAGTCTTTATTTGCAAAATCATGCCCGAAGGCTAATTGCTTTTACAGAGTCAAAGATACTACTATACAGTACAATACAGTAATAGGGAACAGACTATTAGTCTGAAAACTACGAAGGCCCACAACGACACTTCCACACACCTCTTCCACAGCGCGCTGCCATGGGATATACCTTCCATAGCGCTCTTCCGCGGACCTTCCACAGCGCGCTGCCAAGGATATACCTTCCGTATATCGTAGCGCTCTTTCGCGGACCTTCCACAGCGAGGCCCTACAACCACTCCCCTATATTAGCGGACGATCCCTTATAGTGGACGACCTGATGGGTCAAGGGTCGTGCCGTATATTATGGGTATTTACATTACAGGTTGCTGTGGAAGGTCGCGGAAGAGCGCTATGGAAGGTATATCCTTGGCAGCGCGTTGTGGGCCTTCGTAGAAAACTTATACTTCTACTACTTCGCTTGCTATTCACTTGCTATAGCTAGCTACATACATATCAATTATTAGTTAAGAGACTATGACAGAATTTGATTCGTCTTACTGCAGGTGCAAACATGGGGTTGGACCGCCAGAGGGCGTTTTTTGTGTTGCTGGGCGGGGTCGTGGGCATGGTTGTCATGACAACGTGGTGCTTATGTCAGAGAATGAACCGACCAATGAGAAGGCTGAATACAGTCCCGTTTTCTCACTTCAGGTACTTTAAACTCATTCACACATATGTATTACAAAACGTTCTGTATACTAGTAGCACACTCTCTCGAAATTGAGAGAGGGCGGCATAAGAAGTTCCAAGTGTATGAACGAATTTGCAAACATTGTATGTTGAATACGGTGGAAGACGAAACGCATTTTATCTCAAATTGTACCCTCTATAATATCTTCAAATTGAGATAAAATGTATAGCAATGAACGAAATAAACTCTTTGAAGTAGCCTCCAAACTCTACCCAATTCAGCAAACTTTCACACATATACTACTCTCCTCTTAACATCCCCCAAACCACACATTACAGAAAAAAGTGGGATCCTGTATCTTCCTCTGTCTTAAAAAAAAAGAAGTCAAACCCAGTAATTTTTTACTAGTAGTTTCTTAGGAGTTATCAGTACATGTAGTTGTATGTGTATTAATTGTCTGTTTTTATACTAAATGTTTCTTCTGTTCCTGCAAGTAGCCCTTGCGCATGAATTTGCAATAAAACAATTCATATCTACAAGACACTGTAGATGAAAGACACATACACAAGCACGTGTATGTACTACGAGACATATACTAGTAAGTCATGGGTTGTTCTTTTTTTTCAGGTCCGTTGTTTATAAGTACCTCAGTCCTTCACGCAACTTCATCGAGTTCTCGTTCTACGACGACACTCTCGCGAGATGTGAGGAGGAGTCTACGCTGCTCTCCCTCTGCGAAGGGCCGACTCCCATTGGTCGATACCGATCATGCGCAGTAGTCGGCCACGGCGCATCGGTTTCGACGGGCGGTTGTGAAGAGGCCATTAACAAACACGACTTCGTCATCAGATGTAGCCTTCCGCCAAATAAAGAGCGTAACACCAATACCAAGCAATTAACAAATCTGACCATAGTGGACTTTGAGACATTGAAAAAATTGGATTCGAACACACTAAGGAGAAACCTGAATTTAAATCTGAATTCCCCCTTGCTATTGAGCAAGCCACAACAACTACAGACTTTTGTGATCGGTTACATCGGCGATTTTGAACCATATGAATTCGGTTCCGGGAAGGTCAAACATAAAATGTGCTCTGACGTCAATGCCGTCTTACAGGCACAGAACAGACAAGCTATGCTGACGTTTTCCATGGAACCCTTAACAGACATCACCAGAAGGTACGAACATACGTAGTTCCAAGTTCTGTTGAAACTAGAGATCAAGCTTATGCAAGGCACGTTTATTTGGTTGTATGTATAGATACGTACTATAGATGTAGATCACACATACTAGTAGCTATGAAAGAGCTTCAAAATATGGCAACTACTTATCTACTAAAATATATATGTTTAGAGCTAAAACTTTAGATCCAACACAAAAAAGTTCTCCCACCTATCGCTTTCAACCAGTCACTCTGGTCTTCCTCAGTAGACTGACCCCGTGAGACTTGTCACGTGGCTTCTTTGAAGTGTGACGTCAACACTCGAAAGCTCTAGGTGAGAGAACTTTTTGTGTCGGATCTAAAGTTTTAACTCTAAACATGTAACTACCAACACAGATGAACTTTCATGATACATGTAGTACTAAAAATATAGACTAGAAGACAAACAACACAACTGATCCCTATCATAGCTGTATCACAGTTATATGCTACATGTTTCTAATGCTAGATTTCTGCTTTTCCTTCTTAGAATATTGCTGGAGTTCAACATCAGACTGCCAGAGCCGCCGTCCGCCACCCTGGTGTCCGTTCTACTCGCTCTGTCCTTCTGTGATACCGTCACACTCTACGGGAACACCACGTCTGGCGACATCGGTAATCCTAACGAACAACTCCCCAATGTCAACGACGCGAAGCTCTTACGTTTTCAGAAAACACAGAATACGATGACAGAGGAATACCACTTGCTGCAAAAGCTACACGATCAAGGAAACATTCAATTAGTTGGTAGCTGCAATGATTAATTAAGATTGTAATATCACCATTTCATTTTGTTGTGGGAAATGAGTATACTTACTGTAATTTTTCATATGTTGTTTATTTACCCTTAATATTGCTGTTGTTATTATTATTATTATTGTGCTTTTAATTGTTATGGAGGAGGACAACAATAAGCCCTAATGCCTTTTTCCTCCTCCAGCTCATCCATTCTGTTTAGGTTAATTATTTCATATTCTGTTTCGTTCGATATTTACTTTCTGTATTGTTTTTGTTTTATATTTATGTGCAAACAAAAATAAACAAAAATATTCAAAAGACTATAGAGAACTAAGAAATTTAACACGACTTTCCCCACTAGACTCAAGTGAAAATGAGTATTGTCTGTCCAGTATGCGTCTATGTGCGGGACACAACACCAGCAACAGCTGCCTCTGTTCCGCGTGTATTGCACTGTTGCAATTTCAATAATAAAATAATAAAATAAAATAAAGAAATTTATATATTCAAATCTCTACCGAACATAATGACAAGCAAAAAGATAACTAAATTTATAAAGCTATAGTCAACTATGTTTGAAATGCTTCTTCTTAGCCTTGGCATGTTTGGGTATGACTATTGTCGTCTCAATTTTGCATGTTTCAGATTTGCTAGAAGAATTTTTTATCTATTTTTGTAACCTTCAAGTTACCAGATCTCTGGGAGGTGTTTTGGGAACTTCGAAAGGGAATTGAGTGAAGATACTCTTTTTACACAACCAAGTCTTTTATTTAGCCGACGTTTGGGTGCATGCATCTATAGCAGTGACACCTGTGGTGCAGTGCAATGTGAACCAGTCAGAATTGCCCTGAGGAAGATGACAGACGGTCACCGAAACGTCGGCTGAATAAAAGACTTGGTTGTGTGAAAATCGTCTCTTTACTCAATTCCTGAATTCCTTTGCATACATATACATCTAACTTAACTAACTATGGCCCAGTTGTTATGTTGGTGGTTTGTATACGTAGTCCGGCTCGTTGCTGAACTTTGCCCGGCGGTTACAAATCGGATGGACAAAGAAGCGGTCCGACTTTAGGTAGGCTGCGATCTTCGGGAGAGCCTACGTGGTAAAGGGACAATTTTAGAGTTTTCTTCAATTATATATATAACGTTTTGTTATGAACGGTACAAATATGGCATTAACTAAGGTATAGTTGTACATTGGGCAATAAACAACTATGGACCGTTTTCATAGTTATGGCAATGACAAGTAGCAAGTCTTAGGCAAAAGGTTTGAATCTCACCTCGAACCGATCCATAAAGTCCTGAAAAAAAACACATATAGAAACAATATAAATGTGGCATCAAGTTATATATATATGTATTACACAGTTGAACTGCACCCCACAACGTGGACAAACAAGAGTGTTGCAAATGAAATTTCAATTTAAAAATGTTGAAAATAACATTAATATTTGAAACGGGGATGTTTCCTCAACATATATCGCATGTCGCCATTTCAGATGTGAATTTTAGGCCCCATTCCCACTAGGACAAAATTGTCCGGATCGAGCCGAATTGATTCGGTTTGATCCGGATTTGATCCGACTCGAAGCCGGAACAAACCGAATCAATTCGGCTCGATCCGGACAATTTCGTCCTAGTGGGAAAAGGGCCTTAGAAAGACATGGTCGTACCTGTAGGTTTTTGAAGCCGTTGAGACACGAGGGTTCCAACACGCGATGCTGGTCCAGATGTTCGTACATCAGGAAATCACAGTATGTCATCTGCGGGACAAGAATCCAGAGAAATAACGAAAAAAAAACAAAAAAAAAAACAATGGCACGCAATTGCAAAAGCAGAACCATAAAAAATTAAGCAGCATGTAACTTGAACTTAACCTTTTCGCTAACAAACCATGGCTTTTCGCCCAGAAAAGAAGAAAACCGCTGCAGTTCCTTGGGCAGTTCCTTAAGGTATTCCGGCTTTTCCTTCTCCTAATATAATAACAGATTTCCGACAGAAAATATACATAGAACAACAAATAATCGAGAAAAACAGTATACACTCCAAATCATGTAGAACTGCAAATCACCACTTTTATCAATGTATGTGTACACAACGTGTGACCTAAAAAGGTACTTATTCTTGCAGGATATACTAGGACCGATGTATATAACGGCAAGAAAGTCACTTGGTTTAACGTTCAGCTGAGTGATATGATGATGGATAGATAATTTGTGGGCTTACGAAGTCTTTTGCGAAGTAGGTCAGCTCATAATACGCGTCGCGAAAGTCGGAGACTTGCTGTTCCAACATGTCCTGTCGAATCTGTTCCTCTTCAGTCACCCCATCTGGAAACGGCAAGAGATCGAAAATTGCAAAACCCTAGGAAGAATTTGTGCCAGCCGTGACGGGGGGCGGTACGGACTTCCGACGAACTTTGACCCAGTGATGACGTCACACGTGGCGAAAAGTCACGTGTCCACAGCACTCGGGTCATAAAGCTGAAGAAGACTGAGAGATTCAGTCGAAAATTTCTGGTATTTCTTTTTGAGTTTATCAGTTTTATTTTCTTTCATGTAGTATACCAACTCAGATGAACTTTCATGCGAGTGTCAGCCTTGTTAGCTTTCGTCCGCTCCCCAAGATCCGCTACCGGCCGGCTAGTATTTTGCCCCCCCCCCCAACAAATTTACACAACTTTTAGCACAATACTCAAGATCAATAAAACAGAAATAGATCCAGAAAAAGAGGACATCTGATTTTAGTTTTCGACCAAATTAAAACTTACACAGGTTGTTTTTCCGTCCCAGATGTCGCATTATCGCCATGCTGTGGGTCATTTTAAGGTCGCCATCGATGTAGTACGGAAGCTGTGAGAACAACATCATTCAATTTTTTTTGCTAGCATCGTACAAATATACGCTTATATCTTTTTGATTTGCCTTAATTGAGTTTGCAAAAATGGATGTAGAACTAACAGCAACATCATTTTTTTTAAATTTCTTTTATGTTCCTTCTAGTGATTCAAAATTTTGTGAACCGGAAAATTGAAACCTTGGGTGGGATGCTGGGAATACTTACATTTGGGAAGTCGAGACCAAAGTTGTCTTTGATGCTCCTCCAGCAATCTTTGCTGAAATCTGGCGCTAGGAATGTTTGAAAAGGACTGAAGTCAATTTTCACGACTAAATGCATGAGAAATCAACACTTACATCACAATCATCATGATGTCAATGAGATATAAAATATATCAAGTTTAGCAAAGTTAGCTTTAAGTAAAAAAGTAAAAAAGAGTTTTCTTACGTCCACCAGCAACATATACTTCTTCCTTGTAGTCCGTGCCAGTGTGCTCTAACATCAGCCTGATAGACTGTCCATACTGTAGTAAATATGCGCTTATGTTATTTATCAATACTAATAACTCCGTTATCGAATAAGATCAATCATAGTACTCAACATCTAATATTATCAATTTAAAATCGACTACAAAGGTAACATATGCAAAGCAAATGCATAATGTTTACCTTCGCATATGGTCTGCTCTGTTAATTCTTACTCAAACACATTCACATTTATAGTCAGACAGGAGTCTAAATCCCTCCTGCTATAAAATTGCAGCATGATGTACATGTATCCCAACACTAGTTACCATGGTGACAGACGTCTGGTTAAGGTCATTGACCTTATTTGTTTGGATAAGAAGTAGAGGAAACGGAGCAAACAATATGTTTTCCTTCGGTAAACCATTAATTGAAGTGTTCTCATTGGTTGACGTTGAACCGGTATAATTATGATGGACAGTCTGGATCGGTAAAAGGCCGGGAAGGCCTAGAAAGGGGAGGGCTAATATGGCTTCAGAAAAGCCAGAGGGTCTAATGAGGCAACTCACCGCTCGCTGCCTCCAGTAGCCAAGAACAACAGGCATGACTGGACGTGGCACACTCTAACGATAGCCTCAATCCCAGACTCCCTGCAGGCAGTATGTATGCTTTGGAAAAAAGTGGACAAATTCAACCAAGTTACTAACACTACAGACTTCAATGGGCACTGTCACAGTATACAGAATGGCTACCAGAGCACCTAAATAACGTTACTCAATTACCAACCCTTGAACGTAGCAAATGTTCAGGTAAGCAAACACGTTCAACTATACCCTGGACCGTAGTTGAACTACCCTGGGTGCCAAACTCGCATCGGGCCGTTCTAGTCCTCCGTGGCGGTAATTTAGATAGGCGGGGGAAGGGCTCTTGGCTGCCGAAGGAAAACGGCTAACGGCCCGATACTAGTT